TTGCTGGACATGGGCACCAGCGACCCCCGTGACCCAAAATGGAATAAGCGGGTAAAGATAATGGATGGATGGATGTTTACAAATACTGAAAAAACAAAATTCAGCGTTTCATAAAAAATAGAATATTGTGAAAAGGTTCAATATTGTGGGCAGCACGGTGGCGTAACTGGTAGAGCTACTGCCTCTCAGCGAACAGGTCCCTGGTTCAAACCCCGGTCCAGGGGCCTTCTGGGTGGAGTTTGCATGTTCTCTCCGTGCATGCGTAGGTTTTCTCCGGGTACTCCGGTTTCCTCCCACAGACCAAAAACATGCATGTTAGGCTGATTGGTAACTCTAAATTGTCCCTAGGTGTGAGTGAGAGAGTGAATGGTTGTTTGTCTCATTTGTCTCTATGTGTCCCTGTGATGGACTTGCGACCCGTCCAGGGTGTACCCCGCCCCTCGCACAGTGATTGCTGGACATGGGCACCAGCGACCCCCGTGACCCAAAATGGAATAAACGGGTAAAGATAATGGATGGATGGATGGATGGTTCAATATTGTAAACTCAAGTGTCACAGCCTAATCAGCTGATTAACTCCTGGACATGGACTAGAAAATGATAAATTCCTCAAGTCCAGCCACTCTTGAACAAGAGACAACGCCAGAAGTGTCTTGCATGCTGAGAAGAAAAAAAAAAACTGGGCTGTTGCTCAGTGGTCCAACGTCCTCTTTTCAGATTAAAGTAAATGTTCATGTCATTTGGAATTAAAGGTCTCATAGTCTAGAGGAAGAGTGGAGAGGTCCAGAATCCACGTTGCTTGAAGTCCAGAGTGAAGTTCCCAGTAAGTGATGGTTTGGTGCCGTGTCCTCTGCTGGTGTTGGACCACTGTGTTTTCTGAAGTCCACAGTCAAAGCAGGACATTTTAGAGACTTCATACTTCCTTCTGCTGATGAGCTTCATGGAGATGCTGATTTTATTTTCCAGCAGAACTTAGCTCCTGCCCACACTGATAAAGGTACCAAAAGCTGGCTGTGGAATATTCTAATTTTCTGAGATACTGATTATTATTTTTTTCATTATTTTTAAGCAATTATCATCAAAATTACAAGAAATAAAAGCTTGAAACATTTCACTCTGTGTAATGAATATATATATTATGAGTTTAATTTTCTGAAATGGCTGACAAAAAAAAAAAAGACCCTTTTCATTCTAATTTTGTGACATGCACCTGTGTATATAATTGTTTTAATTTTACTTGAGCTCCTTGTGTCTGCCTGCATCTGTCCAATCCCTTCATGGACCGTGATAGTTTCTTTTATTTACAACGAGTATTGTCCAAGTTCATATTCACTGTAAACTTTTACAGTAAGAAGTATTCATTTTACATAGACAAAAGACAATACGATGGGGTTTTTAGGCAAAAAATAAAAAATAAAAACAGATTATGAACAAGATGAATTATAGAGATGAAAGAAACGTCTCTCTGGCTGCAGTGTTGGAAGTCACTATCAAGGCTTTTCCTTTTTTCTGATGAGGTTTGCAGTGTGGCTTGTGTGCTTGGTGCTAAAATGTCTCATCACTCCTTTTACACAGCAATACCCTGTTGCCTATCAAACATGATGTTTATGAACTGATACTTGTGATGAAATGTTTAGAATTCAGCTCATGCTTACAGAATGAAACATTAAGATTTATTTCACCTTCCTCATGCAGCTGCAGTCTGCTTACATCAAGATGGTCACCAGCGTTATTTTAGTCTTAAAGGTTTGGATTTAGACATCCAAAATGCTAAGTTTAAACATACTGAATTGTTAGACTTCTTTGTTTTTGTTTAGGTTGATTTTTAGTTTTAATCTGAGGGCATCATCACCTCCAGAGTCCCTTGTATCATATTTTGCCCACACTGGAGCTCAAAAATACCCTTCTGAGACAGTCAAGCACACAGTAGCACTGCAAAAATGCATATATAAGGACACAAACAATAAATGACATAGTTTGGGGTAACATCTGTGCTCAGTACAAGTTAAAATTCCTTGAATCCCACTGAGACACATGATGGAACGAGCTAAAAAATGATGGTCATGATCCTGAGGGAGTTCCACACAGACAAACAGCTGACGGCTGATCAGACTGATGCAGTGCTGGATGAAGGTCGGTTAACGTGTTTCTCTTTTTTATTTAATATAATTTACACAAAACACAAGCTGTACTTGTTTTGTGCAGATTCACGCTTTGAGCCGTTTTGGTTAAATACGTCCTGATGATTACGTTTGTTTCAGTGGGATTATTGCAGTGGAGCAATATTATTTAGAAGCGTTTAAATACTGTGCGCAAAACACTTGATACACTAACATCTGCACGCGTACCCCCCACCACACACACATTTCCCTACTTACACTTATCACAGTGTCACCTTGAGCTTTCTACACAGGCTAACTTCAATTAAGCAAATTAGGAGTAAATCTAGAGCAGCTATAGGAGACACCAGGGGGGGAGGGGCTTGTTCAGCAAAATACAGTGAGACTAACAACCCTGATGAAAAATCTATGATCTATGGCTCACTGCATGTGTAATGTTATGAAACAATACAGTACATTCTAAATGAACAAAAAAAAATAATAAAACAGACATACTTTATCAATACCAGGAGGGAAATTTGAGAAGAAATAATGATTGAATAAACAAATGAAATAGGTCAATGTATACTCACTGGTGTACATCATCCACTCATTATACGTCCAGTACCAAATTGATG